CGAGTGGCTATACAAGCGTTTGATTCGTTCTTAGGTGTTAAATGAGGAGGGAGAGTGTCGGAAGCCTCAGGTGGAGATCAGAACACTTGGTTTCCAATCTTACCTCTACCTTGGCCATACCACCAGCTCTCAAAGCCTCAACCTCTTTGTCCAATGTCAAGCATGAATAAGTTGTCTAAAGGCCCTATCCACAGTGAATTCTGTTTAGGAGTGACTTTTGCCCAATTTATTTTGTTTTTATTGTTTGAAGTGGAGTCTCACTGTCACCCAGGCTAGACTGTGGTGATGTGATCTTGGCTCACTGCAGCCTAGACATCCTGGACTCAAAGGATCCTCCCACTCAACCTCCCAAGTAGCTGGGACTACTGGTGTGTACCACCATACCCAGATAATTTTTGTGTTTTTTTATAGAGACAGGGTCCCTATGTTGCCTAGGCTGGTCTTGAACTCTTGGGTGCAAACAATCCTCCCTCCACAGCCTCACAAAGTCCTGGGATTATAGGTGTGGGCTACAGCACTTGGCCAACTTTTGGTCAGTGTGTTGATCTTTTCAAAGAACCAGCTTTCGGTTTCATGGATTTTTTTCTCTATTGTTTTTCTAGTATCCATTTTATTAATTTCTGCTGTAACCTCTGTCATTTTCTTCTTTTTGCTTTAGAAAGAAGTAGATTTAGTTTGTTGTTTTTCTGTTTCTTAAGGTGAAATGTTAGGTTACTGATTTGAAATTTCTGTCCTGGCCGGGCGCGGTGGCTCAAGCCTGTAATCCCAGCACTTTGGGAGGCCGAGGCGGGTGGATCACGAGGTCAAGAGATCGAGACCATCCTGGTCAACATGGTGAAACCGCGTCTCTACTAAAAATACAAAAAATTAGCTGGGCATGGTGGTGCGTGCCTGTAATCCCACCTACTCAGGAGGCTGAGGCAGGAGAGTTGCCTGAACCCAGGAGGCGGAGGTTGTGGTGAGCCGAGATCGCGCCATTGCACTCCAGCCTGGGTAACATGAGTGAAACCCCGTCTCAAAAAAAAAAAAAAAAAAAAGAAATTTCTGTCCTTTCTTAATATCATCATTCAGAGCTATAAATTTCCTTGTAGTCACTGCCCTAGATATTTCCCATAAGTTCTCATATGTTGCATCTTCATTTTCATTCATATTAGACTATTTCTGAATTCTCTTTTGATTTCTTTTTAACCCATTGGTTATTTAGGAGTGTGTTGTTTAATTTCCACATATCTGTGAGTTTTCCAACTTTTTTTATGTTATTGATTTTATTCCACTATGTTTAGAGAACATACTTGGTAGTATTTCTTTCTTTTTTTTTTTCTGAGGCAGAATTTTGCTCTTATTCCCCAGGCTGGAGTGCAATGGCACGATCTCCGCTCACTGCAACCTTCACCTCCTAGGTTCAAGCAATTCTCCTGCCTTAGCCTCCTGAGTAGCTGGGATTACAGGCATGCACCACCACACCCAACTAATTTTGTACTTTTAGTAGAGACAGGGTTTCTCCATGTTGGTCAGTTTGGTCTCCAACTCCTGACCTCAGGTGATCTGCCCGCCTCAGCCTCCCAAAGTGCTGGGATTACAGGCATGAGCCACCGTGCCCTGCCACACTTGGTAGTATTTCTATCTTTTAAAATGCATTGAGATTTGCTTTGTCACCTAGAGCATGGTTTATCCTGGAGAACGTTCCATTTGCACTTGAGAAGAATGTGCATTCTGTTGCTGGGTGGAGTGCTCCATAGGTGTCTGCTAGAGCTAGTTGTTTTACATGCCATTCAGGTCTTTTATTTCCTTGTTGATCAGTGCAGTTGGTCTAACCATCATTGAAAGGAGTATACTGAAGGATGTACTTGACCACTGAAAAATACTATGACTATGTGAAGCATATAGTACAACTAAGGAATATTTATATCAATGAAGCACAACTGTAATCACAGTATCATGGAAAGCAGATAAATAGTGATATTTATTGTCCTTTCCATTTTCCCTAGGAGGAATGTGTCTCAGAAGAATTCTCTTTTTATTTCATTTATTTTGTTATTTATTTATTATTTTATTTTATTTTATTTATTTTTTTGGGGACGGAGTTTTGCTCGTTACCCAGGTTGGAGTGCAATGGCGCGATCTCGGCTCACCGCAACCTCCGCCTCCTGGGTTCAGGCAATTCTCCTGCGTCAGCTTCCTGAGTAGCTGGGATTACAGGCACGCGCCACCATGCCCAGCTAATGTTTTGTATTTTTAGAAGAGACGGGGTTTCACCATGTTGACCAGGATGGTCTCGATCTCTTGACCTCGTGATCCACCCGCCTCGGCCTCCCAAAGTGCTGGGATTACAGGCTTGAGCCACCGCGCCCGGCCCTATTTCTTTTTTAAGACAGAGTCTCACTCTGTCATCCAGGCTGGAGTTCAGTGACATGATCTTGGCTCACGGCAACCTCTGCCTCCCTGGTTCAACCGATTCTCCCACCTCAGCCTCCTGAGTAGCTAGGATTCCAGAAGTGCACCACCATGCTTGGCTTTTTTTTTTTTTTTTTGTATTTTTTTAGTAAAGCCTGCTGGTCAGGCCGGTCTCGAACTCCTGACCTCAAGTGATCCTCTTGTTTTGGCTTCCCAAAGTGCTGGAATTACAGGTGTGAGCCACTGCACTCAGCCAGTAGTATTCCCTTTTTTAAAAATGGACAAGTAGACGCCTGGAGCAACTAACTGAGGTGATCAGGACACAACAAAGGAGTGGGTAAGCAGGGACAGTGGGCATCTTTGAGGGCTCTTCAGAAGAACTGCCTTCCTTGTGGGCCAGTTACAAGCTGATAGACAGGCGCCAACATACCGTGTGTGTCAATGTGACACGAAGAGAGGAAGGGAGTGTGTGTGTGTGTGCAAGAGCACAGGGCAATTGCGTCGCTAAATTTCTGTTTATCCTGGAGCCACAGTCCGGTTTAATCATTCCTGGAATTTTCGTGCATGAACAGGGTGTAGTTGTGGACTCATTATTTACATAACATTTTTCTTTCCTCTCCCTCTCACCTGAGGGAGAAAGGGGCTTTCTCTGGAGCCAGGAGAGACACCTCCTCCCCTTATCATTCGTGCTGAAAGCCCAGAGGTATGCCTGCTGCGTCCTCTGGACTGTGTTAGGGGCATGACTTGCAGTGTCAGAGCAAACATTCATATGACAGGTATGCACAAGGCTTCTCTCCTCTCTTGTTTCCTGCCTTCCCTCATTCTCACCTGACTGTCCACATAGTAGACACTCAATCAATATTTATTGATTTGGTTTTGTAATGAGGCCAGGCCAAGTTATATCTTGGTTAATAAACTACTGACTTCAAAGAGAGGTGGGGCTGACAGAGACCCAGGTAGACTCCTCTGTTTCTCAGGCATTTTCTGGAGCCTCCCTCTGAGAATGACAGATGAAGACTAAGAGAGAGGGAATACACAGCAGCCCAGGGTCACAGCAAGAGTAGGACACCTAGACTCTGGTCCTGCCACTGAGACGCCCCACCTCTTGGGGGAGTCCTGGCCTCTGTGTTCATGACTGTAATGTATGGAGGCTTAATCTAAAGACTGGCAGGGTTTACTTCTGCCTTAATATTTTCTCATTCTGTGAAATGTGCCATTCCTTTGCTCACTTGCTTTCATATTCATACCCTGACTCAACAAATATTTATTGAGCACCTACTCAGTGCCAGACACCAAGGAGACCTGGAGTGGGAGGTGGGGATGGGGATGCCCAGATAAATAATGGGCAGCTCCAACTCTTGAATCCATCTTGCTGGGTGCAGGGCAAGAACGCAAGACAGGCATTTACATGGATAACACTACTGGGTGGGATCAGATTGATAGCTCCTGGGGTAACTCCCCACACAGGCCTGTACAGAGGGTGCTTCCTTCAGAAATCTGGGAAACTGAGGCAATGCCAAGGGGAAGCTAGAAGACAGCAGGGTTCTTGAATGGGTAGGAAGGCTCAGTGGGACTCCCCTGAGCACTTAACTATATTTAAAGAGAACCCAGATCACCTCTCACCCACCCAACGGAGACATCAGGAATGTATGCACATGATGACTGTGTGTCTAGATATTTTGGGTTGAGTAAAAAATTCACATGGAAGTGTTTATGCTATAGGCTGGGTCTGTCAAAAAGGCTACCAGTGTTCTCTGAGGTTGGTTGCTCTTAAGATCTGTTGTTCCTCAAAGATCAACAGAACTCAAGTAGGCCTTAGAAGGAGGCCCACAGGTCTTCCAGGACTATGACCCAGGTAGCCACAGCCTGACCTGCAGTGGAGCATGAGCCATCACCTTGGCTCAGCTCAGCCTCATTCCTAGCAATCACACAGCCCACAAGCCAATCCAGCCCATACAAATGCCCAGCAGAGCTTGCAAACAAAACGAAAACTAAAAAACAGAAAATTAAAGGAAATCCCAAGTCACACACTCTCTCATGCAGCCTAAACAACCCTGCTGCCATACACAAGATCAGGCCACACATCTGCTCTTGGTTACTAGATGATGGGACTCTAGTACTATATTCCTTTCACCTCTCTTCCCAATGGTCCGGAAGAGAGGGGGAAACCCCACCTAGATCTGTGCATACCACCACAAAGAGATGCAACGTGGGTTCCAGTCAAATCCTAACACGGCAGTGAAAATAACAACATAGCTAAATTGCCTGTTCACTGCACGCCAGGTACTGTGTTAAGCACCTTATATGCATTATCTTATTCCATTCTTCAATCATACAGGGTAGATCTATCATTGTCCTTGCTTTTATTGATGAGTAAACTGAGGCCTGGAGAAAACAGTACAATAATTAAAAGTCAGAGTGTGTAACTCCTAAAGGCATATTCTCTCTCTCTCTCTCTCTCTCTCTCTCTCTCTCTCTCTCTGAGATAATAGAGTTTGCCAAATTGGGCAGCTGGTCTCGAACTCCTGACCTCAGTGATCCACCCACCTTGGCCTCCCAAAGTGCTGGGATTACAGGAATGAGTCACCTTGATTGGTCAAGGCATATTCTTTTTTTTTTTTTTTTTTTTTTGAGACAGAGTTTTGGTCTTGTTGCCTAGGCTGGAGTGCAATGGCAGGAGTTTGGCTCACCATGACCTCAGCCCCACCTTGCCACCCCAGGTTCAAGCAATTCTCCTGCCTCAGCCTCCCAAGTAGCTGAGATTGCAGGCATGTGCCACCACGCTGGGCTAATTTTGTATTTTTAGTAGAGATGGGATTTCTCCATGTTGGTCAGGCTTGTCTCAAATTCCTGATCTCAGGTGATCCTCCCACCTCAGCCTCCCAATGTGCTGGGATTACAGGCGTGAGCCACCGTGCCCAGCCCGGTCAAGGCATATTCTTAACCATTACCCAGTGTTGGACCGCTCATGGCTTTATCTTACCATAAATGAAAATTAAGCAACAGAATACACAATGAAACCTCTTTCTCTTCTTTAGAATTGAGTTTCAATCTGAGTTTTTGAAGCATTTCTGTTGGATGTGTGTTTTTAATATTGTAAGCTACTGCAATTCCTTGATGAACATCGCACATCATAAAGCTCACTTTTTTACAAAAGCAACAGAACACACACAGAGATCATGGAAATCGGCTCCAACCTCTGTCTGGTTATAACTGCTTTGGGGTGGGGGCTGGGGGAGCTGTCTTCGTGGCTGCCAGACAGAAGGTTGTTTGAACTTGGCTGGTTCTGAGAGCAGACAGAGTGAACTTGAAGAGAAAGATAAACATACAACAACTGCTCAAAGCTTTAGGCATCGTGATTGCTAATTGAGAAAGGCTCTAAATGATAGCTGCTGGGTTGCGGGGATTTCATTCCTGGGGGATTAGTCACTCGGGGTAACTCGGGGACTGTGTTCCTTCAGGCTCCCCTGACAAACATTATAGGTGATTGTAGCATCCTAGACAACCGGGAACAGATATACTCCAGAGTGACCCAGAGCAACAAAAGCACCTTAACTCTGAAGCTTTTCAGGTGGACTCTTCACATGTACACATGTAGGTGCTCTCAGACACGTACGCACACACATACACAGATGCTGTCTTACACACTCACACCCAGACATATCCATGTGCAAAAACCCCAGCTCATGTGACACTCACATATTTACACATCCACGTGCAAACACTCTTTCTCTCTCACATACACACACTCCTACTCTCTCTTGCCTGCACACACATACTCCTGGCAAGCCTGTGGCCATTATACCTGCCTAGGTCGCCATGATACCTGGCCAGGTCTCTTTCTGGTCCAGCCCCAGCCGGGGCATCCTCAAGCCTGGGTCATTAGGCTGCCATGCTGTGTTCACCTTTCCCTCAGAGCCTGGTCACACCATCCTGCACTTCAAATGATGGCTGTGAGAGACCCGAAGCCACTCTTTTTTTTTTGGATAATTTACCGATTTAATAGTGGGCATTGTACACCAAGTTTAGTGACACTAAAATAAGTTCTGATAACCCACTACTGTGGGCCTTGGTTTTCAAGACTGGAGCCAGTGGCTTTACTTATTTCTCAACTTCATCAGAACGTATTGACAGAAGAATGTATTGACAGAAGTATGACTGTTCTGACTGTGTGGTCACCAGGGTGTAAGGCAGGCCTCCTAGCTGGCCTCTCGCAGGAGCTACTGGCATCTTTCACCTCTCTGGCTTCTTCCTCTTCTGGGGACAGCTTGATGAGGTGGACAGGGCTTTGGGAAAGATAAGGCTTGGGGCAAGCTGCAGTCCTGGGACCTTGGGTAAGCTGCTGAAACTTCTGAGTCTTGATTGTCTCTGCTTTAGAATGGAGCTAATACGTTATGGAGTTGGAGAGAGCATCAAATCCTGTGCCTGATAGGAACTTGCAATGGCAACCAAGGTTATTATCAGTGATTCCTCTGGCTGATAAGTTGTAAAATGTCTCTCTGACTCACTCTCAACTCACATTGGCAAACTTTCCTGCCAGATGAGTCAGTTTTGTGTCAATGTTGCCCCCCAAATTTTTTTTAAAAGAGGCACCAATATACTATACCAATTACCCTCACAAGAAAAGTACCTTTATGCTATGTCTGATCAATGAACGCATGAAGAGGAAACTCTCAAAAGCACATTCATAATTTTTATGTGTGAGAAGTTCGGGAGCGAGTTTACACTATGAATGATGTCAGGGGTTATCTCCATCAGTGGTTTTGAAGTCATAGAAGCAATGCCCCCCTCAATCTCCTCACTTCTTCCTGCAAGTATCTAAAGGTGCTTAAAAAAAATACACTTTTTTTTTTGAGACAGAGTCTCTGCCCAGGCTGAAGTACAATGGCACAATCTTGGTTCACTGCAACCTCTGCCTCCTGGGTTCAATCAGCTCTCACCTCAGTCTTCCAAGTAGCAGGTGCCCGCCACCATGCCCAGCTAATTTTTGTATTTTTAGTAGAGATGGGGTTTCACCATGTTGGCCAGGCTGGTCTTGAACTCTTGACCTTGTGATCCGCCCACCTTGGCCTCCCAAAGTGCTGGCATTACAGGCATGAGCCACCATGCCTGGCTGAAAAATACAAATTTTAATAAGAAAAAAAAGAACTCTCATAGTTCTCTAGAAGAGGAAAATAGCAGTGAGAGGGAATCTGCAGAGACTAAAGATGAAATATCTCTTTTCACAATTTTACTGAACATGGTCCCATTAAACATTCTCCCAATGATAAGGATGATTGTAAATTTCATTTTCTGAGCATCTACTATGTCCTTAGCACTATTTGGCATCTCACATACTTTGTCTTTCTTCTTCCTTATAGCACTAATCACAAATGTCATGACATCATTACTGTTGTCACAATCTATTTCATGTCTATCTTGCTCGCTAGATGACAAACTCCAGGAGGGTGTGGGCCTGGTCTCTGCTGTTTGCTGTTATGTAGTCTATGTCTAGTGTAGCGTCCAGCATGTGGCATTGCTTAGTAAATGCTCATTGAATGAATATGAATGAGCTACAGTCCTTGCAGCAGAGTAGCAAGTTAGGCATTATCATCTCCATTTTGCAGATAAAGAAATGGATGCTCAAAGTGAGATGGCTTCCCTAGGAGATACTGCTTTGTGGTTCTGGGAACTAAATCCGGGTTTGTTGGTTCCAAACCATTTGTTCTCCTGGCTACTAAAGTGGCCATTCTAGTAAGGACCTCCACTGGATTGCCCTGTTTTGGTTGTGTAAACACTGATGGGTACTTGCTTAATAAATAGTCTTCTGGGCTTAGCTCCTTTAGCTGGTCCTTAGTCTCCCTGATAGGTTGTTTCCTTTCCTTTTAACTTCTCACTCATTTACTTTCTTGTATCTTACTTTGTATTGTCTCTGCTTAGTCAGTCCCTTTCTTTTTACTCCGAGCAGAGGGCCCATCCTAAACAATTCCATCAAGTCCTCTGGGGTCCTTCTTAGCTCTAGTGCCTTCCTCTGTACCAGAAACCTCAGCCAAAAGCCTCAGGGTAGGTATCTCCAAGGCTGTACCATGAAATTATAACAAGTCACCCAACTTCCCTGGCTAGAGCCAACAATAATTTTCCTGTTTCCAAATCCCACAAACACTCCAGCATTCTCACCCTTCTTGATCTCTTCTCTGCATTTGCTACTATTGACTGCTCCCCCTGGAAGCTACATCTGTTTCCTACTCTTACCCCATCTCTTTTGCAACTTCTGTCTTCTTCTTAAATGGTAGTGGCGCTGGGGTTCTCTTTTCATCCTACGTAGTTTCCCTTGGATGCCTCATCTACTCTCCCTTGGCTTTGATGTCATCTTCATCCAGAGCTTCTCAATGTTAGTGGGCATGAGGATGATTGGGTAATAATCCTGACTACTGATTTGTCAGGTCAGGCAAGGGAGCTGCATTAGGATGATCAGATGTAGGCTACTCTCAGTTCTCAGACCACAGGATGAAATACATTGATCTATACAAGCTAGTATTTCCCAATACCATGCCCTTCCAAACTCCAGGCCTGAATAGCCGCTTTCTTACTATGTAGCTGAGCTGCTGTCTCCTTGGCCATAGCAATCACAGCGCTGTGCCACTCAAATCCCCTTCAGGAAGGAACTTTTTGTCCCCAGCTACAGGAAGTGCTGTCATCATCCAGGATTGCCTCAGCTGTAAACAACCTCCTTTTCCAAGGTCATGTCACTTCTTAGGGAAGCTCATATTCAATCATTGATCAGTGTAGGAATATAGAAACTCCGCCATCCTGGCTTAACCTGGAACAGCTCAGAAAGGTACTTCTAGCTCCAGAGCTCCCTAAGGGTGAGTTGATGTGCTGCTTATATAAAGCTGTGTAACAAACCACCTCCAAATGTAACAGTGGCATTTACTTTGCTCATGAATCTGCATTCTGGACAGGGGTTGGGGTGAGGGAAAAAAAGGGATAGTCTGTCTCTGCTCCATTTGGTGTCTGCTGGAATGGCTTGCAGGTTGGGGCCGGATGCATCTAAAACTCAACCACTCAGGGGCCTGGCACCTGAACTGGGCACACTCAAACTGTGGGGGTTGGAGCCACTGGGCTCCTTGGGCATCTGTGTGTGTGTGTGTGTGTGTGCGCGCATGCATGTGTGTGTGTGGTGTGTGTGTGGTCTCTCCGTGTGCTCTCTCCAGCATGGAGGCATCAGGACAGCCAGGTTTCTTACTTGTAGACTTAGGGCACCTGAGAGAGAGCTGAGTGGAAGTCATGATTGCCTTTCTGTGATCTGATCTCAGAAGTCATGCAGCATCACACTGGTCATGCAGTCACAAAGCTGCACCCAGTTTCAGCGGTATGGAACGTGGACCTGGCCCTCCATGGAGGAGTGCCAGCATCACACTGTAAGAACACATGCTGGTGTGGCTGTCTTTGAAGAGTACACTTTGCCACAGCCAACTCTGTCATTAGGCCTGCTCTGCAGCTCAATGTCTCCCTCTCTGCACTCCTGTGTCCTTCCCCCACTTTCTGTGTCACCCTCAAGAGCACACTTTAAGAAACACCCTACTCTCTAAACTCTGTCTCAGAGCCTGCTCCCAGGAGCTCAGCCCGTAAGACCAGTCCCTCAAAAGCAACATGTCCAAGACAAAGTCACCATCTTCCCCACCCCCTCCTCCCACACAGGTCTTCTCTTCTCTGT